GGATATGGGGATGCAGGGATGTGGGGATGCAGGGATGTGGGGATGCAATGAGGCAGGGATTTAGGGATTCAGGGCTGCAGGGACTCAGGGAGCAGGGATGCAGCTCATCCCCCCTAGCTGCCCGTGCCCTCCACCCCCACCACCTCTCCGCTCTCTGAAATGGGGTCACCTCCCTGTCCCCAGAGGCAGCAGGGCTGGATCAAAGGACAGCTTCCCCAGGGAGCTGCCCTGGCACAAAATGGGAGCAGCAGAGCCCTGATTGGTGCCTGGCACAGGGGTTGGGTGCCCAGACCCGGATACCGGAGCCGGGGGCTGCCTGTGCCCCCTGTTCCCAATCCCTGCTTGTGCCCCCTGCTCCCAATCCCTGCTTGTGCCCCCTGTTCCCAGTCCCTGTCTGTGCCCCCTGTTCCCTGTCCCTGCCTGCCCTGGGCACGGCCCCGGTGGGGAGCGTGGCTGGTGGGGGGGTCCCGTGGGCCGGGGCCGGTGGTGTGGAGGGGCTGACCCACAGGTTGAAGGTCAGGGCTCCGCGCTCAGACCCCTTTTCAGATTCAAATGGGCTCCCGGGGGCTTTGTGCGGGGTCAGGCTCCACCGAGAGCCTCATGAAAGGCCGGGGCAGCCGGGGCGGCCTCGACCCTGGGTGCCGGGAGGAGGGGGAGGGCAGGTGGGACCTGCCACCACCCCCACCCCGCCCAGAGGGTCCCCCCTGCCCCGTCCTGCTGACTCTGGGGCCGGGCCGGGGCTCCACATGCCCGCTGATGTTCTGTCCCACTCCCTGCCTCAGTTTCCCCTCTGTGGAGCAGGAGGGGGATCAGGTCACCCCAACTTCTCCACAGGGCTGGGGGCAAATCCATGGCACTGGGGGGGTGCAGCCACCCCTCCATGGGGTGACATGGGGGGCACAGAGAGGGTGAGAGCCCCTGTGTGTGGTGACCCCCACCCACGGTTTGCAGCCTCACAGGGATGGGAGCAGAGCGGGGCCTGAACAAGGGCTGAAAATCAGGGAATTGACCCCAAATCCCCATGTGGGGCTACACTGGGGCTCAGGGGGGACAGACAGAGGGACAGGATGGTATCTATCCAAGCCCCCGGGAAGCACCGCTGCTGGCAGCCCCCACATGGGCCTGGGAGAGGGAATGGCCACCCCACAGCCCAGAGCGGGGACAACTGGCATGAGGGGTTTTGGGGCCGGGCTGGTGCTGGTGTTGGCATCCACCTCTCATCAGGGATGGCACCAGGCTCTCCGGTGTTGCTGGATCCCACCTCTCATCAGGGATGGCACCAGGCTCTCCGGTGCTGCTGGATCCCACCTCTCATCAGGGATGGCACTCAGCTCTCCAGTGCCACCGGCACCCTGCTCTCCGTCGGCACAGCCGCAACCCCAGCCCTGCCCCGCACATTTTGGCAAGAACTCCTCTGCCATCCCCTTGCCCACGGGCCGAGGGGACCAGGGGGGGAATCACGGCTGCCCCCCGTGCCCACGCTGGAGCCGGGTCCAACCACCGCGACTCCGGAAACCTCGGCGAGGCCTCCGCCGGTGCCGGACCCTTCCCGGGGGCGCCGGGGCGGCACGAAACGCGCCGGCGGCTCCCGGGGGCCCTTTTGTGCGGCGGAGGCAGCGGAGCAGCGCGAGGAAGGAGGAATTCCTCCGGAGATCAAACGCCTTCGCCAACTGGACACCGACGTCAAAACAAACCGGCTCCCAGCGCGGGGCCGGGAGCCGCGCGGGGGACAAGATCCAATTTCCTCCTTTGTTCCTGGATTATTATTTTTTGCAGGGGGCGAGGAGGGGGCGGGGGAGCGGCAGGGAAAGGGCCATAAATCACGGCCTGACAGAAGAGAAAGGAGAAGCGGGGCTGGCTGCAGGTGGGGGTGACCCCCCTGCCCGCACTCGGACCCCCCCCCAAGCCCAGCCCCGTTCCCAGCTGGCTCTGCCGGGTGTTATTCCGTGGCCACGGCAGCCCTGGGGCATCAGGGCCTTTCAGGGCACCATATCAGTGGGTACCCGGTGAGCAGAGACCCCTAAAGCCAGGAGAAACAGGGGGGTTGTTTTGTTTATGGCCATGTCACACACACCCCCCCCCCGCTGCACCCCTGCTCCAGGCTCAGGGCCTTGCTTTGCCCTTCCCTTAACCTCAGCCCTGGCACGTGGGTTGGGAATGCCAAGGACACCGGCAGAAAGGTCCTGGCAGCGCCGGTTCCAGGCGGTGTGGGCATTCCCAGCCACGCCACACGGCACCAGCATCCTCACCGTGAGGTGGAGTGCCCCGTGGGGACACCGGGGGGTCAGGGGTGCGAGGGGGCACCCGGTCCACCCCACCCCATCCCCGCGCCCTGCCCGCCGGACTTTGCCCCTGGAAGTCAAGGCGAGCAGGTGCCGGGATTCACCGGGGCCGCCGTGGCATGGCCGGGAGGGGAGTTTGGCCCCGGGTGAAAGGCGGTGGCAGGGCGGTGGCGGGGGCTGCTCCGGGGTCAGGCACCTTTCCACAGGGTTTATCCCCTGGTTAATGATTTCCAGGGCGGCAGCAGGCGGGCGAGGAGCACCCAGCACCCACCGCCCGCCCCTGGCCGGCTCCTACGGGTCCGACTGGATTAACCACATTGCAGACGGGCTTTATGGGGCCACGGGAGTCGGGCCCCGGCCACGTCCGGCCCTTTTGCTCCCTCCCAGGGCTGGTGGCTCCCCAGGGACCCCCTGGATCACCCCGTGGCCCCACGCGAGCCGAGGCCTCGGTAATTAAAGATCCCGCTGGGGCTGTCGGCGAGAGGAGGGGATTGAGGATGCCGACGGCTTGGCCACGGGCCAGGAGTAGTGGGGAATTGCTTCCCAGCCAGGAGTAGTGGGGAATTGCTTCCCAGCTTCCCAGCATCCCGGCAGCCCCTGACAGCATCACACTGTGCCACGACGCCGCAGCCCAGGTGGCCCTGCGTGCCGGGCTCTCGGTGCCACTGGAATCCCAGTGCCACGCTGGGCTCTCAGTAGGATGTGGAGCTCCCAGTAGGATGTGGAGCTCCCAGTGCCATGCTGGGCTCCTGGTCCAATGTGGGGCTCCCAGAGTGATGCTGGACTCCCAGTTCTGTGCTGGGATCCTGGTGCCACACCGGGCTCCTGTGACAGTGCCAGGCTCCCAGTACACCACCAGGCTCCCAGTTCGATGCTGGGCTCCCAGTACAACACCAGGCTCCCAGTTTGATGCTGGGCTCCCAGTAGAACACCAGGCTCCCAGTTTGATGCTGGGCTCCTGTTCCAATGCCAGCCTCCCACCACAATCCCGGGCTCTCGGTGCAGCGGGAGGTGCCGAGCTCTCCCGGTGCCAGCCAAGGGCTCTGGTCCCCAAAATGCAGCGGGGGACCGGGAGGGGCCACATCCCGCCACCTCCGGTGGCCAAACCTCCCGCTCCATCACCACGGCCCCGCACCGGGGCCGTGCCCGGCTCTGCCACCGCCGGTACCGCCGGTACCACGGGCCCAGGGCGCCGGTTACCGCCCCGCCCGGGGCTGCGGGGCCCCGCGGGGTGCGGGGGGCGGCGGGGGCGGCCCGGTGCGGCGGCGGGGCCGGGACCGGGGCAGGACCCGGGAGCGGAAGGGGAGGAGGACGGGGAGGAGCATCCAGGGCGGCCACCGCGGCAGCGGCTGAACTTTGCTCTTTCACGGGAGGCGGGGAGAGCCCCGGGGCTCGGCGGAGCCGGTCCCGCCGCACCCGCACCCGCACCGGGACCGGGCTGCGTGCGGCGGCGGGGCCCGGGGGGGGCGAGGGCGGGCCGGGGCAGCGCCGCCCCCTCCCTCCTCCTCCTCTCCTCTCCTCCTCCTCTCCTCCTCCTCCTTCCAGCCGGTGCCGCGGAGCGGAGGAGCCACCGGGGGCGGGAGCGGCCCCCGCATGCGGCCGGTCCCCGCGGGGGGATGCGCCGCGCCCCGCGCCCGCCGCCGCAAAGTTTCCGCGGGGCCCCCCCGTTAACCGGGGCGGGGAGGAGGAGGGGGAGGAATCGCTGGGAAAAACGAGTCCCTGGGCGAAAGGGATCCCGGCGATAGGGGAGGGCTAAACGGGGAGGGAGGGGGGGGGGGG